GAGGAAGCATAAGTAAAACTGATTTACACGGTCAGAGGCCCATTTAAACCTGCTCTACATCTAAGCGCATAAACAAGTGGAGAATTGTCTTTAACCGTACACTCCGGCCGAGCTCATCCCCCTGTGTTTTGGTCCAGACAGCCAGTCGTAAAGATTATTGACGACGTACACCGTGTGATATGGGCCAAAAAAGCACTGGGTAGCCTTAAATCTCACTGATGTATTCTTCTACTCTTGGAACACTGTTATGGATGGTTGGGTTGATTTTTGGCAAGTATGTATAAAGTTGACACCCGCTTGAATGTACCAAGGTAAGATTTTAAGACTTTTCATGCACCGGCCTGTACAGAGGAATGTGAGTGAACACAGGTGCGGGTGGTGAGCTTGTGAGGATGGATTGCTCAATCAAAATGCTATTCAGTTTGACTCCTCCATATACAAATGATCACTGTTCATAATTTTGTGCTTCGGGATGTCTATTTCTGCAACAGTTATTGATTCTGAAGTGACAAGGAAAGTTATGATGTTCATCTCATGTTCCATCATCTCCATAAGGGGGCGCTTTTGTTAGTAAGTCAGTCAGTGCTCTGAACTGGCAGGCTAGGACTACAAATGATCTATGAATGGGTTGATTCTGCTGTTGAGGTGAAGAGAGGGTGGAGCACATTGCAGAAAGAATAACATATCCATAAAAATATTCTTGAAATACATAACATTAAAAAGTGCGATGTTTTATATCAAACGCATCTTGCCTTTTCCATCTAATTAAAGGAAAATTTTTAATAAAGGATCCCCCACTTGCTTGTCTCCATACAGATATAATTGCTTTGTCCATTGGATCTTCCATAGTACAGAGTTAAAGTTCTCAATTTCTATCATGACAAGTCACATGTCAGATCTGTGGAGAGGCGACCCTGTTCACGCTTCACAGTAAGAATAGCTATGTTTCCAAGTTCTTTTAAGCAATAAAAACAAGTGTGAGTGTATAAATGCAAATGAGATCAGTTTAATGCTATATTGCGGAACATTCCAAGCAAAGCAGATGACAGACGTTTGACCGGAAAAGTTACATAGTGTAATTTAGATCAAATTTAAATCTTTATTAACCCCAAAGCAACCTTTTTTTTTACCTTGACATGACCTGATCCAGTGCTTTGGGTGAACTTAATTCAACCATAATACATTGACAATCAACTAGACAGACTATAGTATTTTCTAATGCCTCATAGCAGCAAAGATGAAGTGAGTATATTGCCTATAATTTATATAAAAAGCCACAGCGTTGGTCAGTAGTGGCTGTCCAAGTGCCAGGCTAACCAAAATAATTGAATCTCTTAAACAGATACAGGGGCCGAAATGGTGCTGTAATTGCATGTACTCTGGGGGACCGGGGCCACTCACACTTCACATTATGTCTGCTCCTCTGCCATTAAGACTACTGTGACCTGCCTGCTCTGAATTATAACACTCAGGTTTAATGTGAGTGAGTGACTGTCAATTTGACCAAATGAAAAGTACATACACACACAGGCTAATTCTCCCAGGTGGCTCTTACTTTGCGCTGTAATGGCAAAGTTAATTGTTGTGGTGTTGCATAAGAGGAGAGATGAAAATGTCTAATAATAGTCAAACATATGAACTTGTAAATGGTGTTGTAAACATAATGACTAATGATGGAAGTTAAGTTTTAGGTTTAATTAAAAAAAATTAAGTATAACCACTTCTAATGTAAGTAAGTATGCATTTTATAGTGTTTATCTTGCTTCCACTGTTATTGCTTCAAAATAATTGAAAATAGAAGTAAAACTGAAATAGTAGTATATGTAGAAGTATTTAATAGAACTGAAATAGAAGTATTTTCACACATCTTCTGCGGTAACTACTATTACTATTACTATTACTATTATAACTTCTACTACAACAACTGCTACTAATACTACTACTACTATTGCTGATTTTACAACAAGTGCAATAAGTACGCTTCTCAGCTACAATGCTTGTTCCAGATTTTAAAAATGTTAAGGCGCACAAAGGTTCTAACTTTTCTAGAAGAGAGTGCATCACCTGCTTGTATCCATGAAGATGTCATTGTTATGTTATTGTTATGTTATTGCTTTTCCTGAAATTTCTGTTGTACGACATTGAACTTATCTCCAAGGTGACATAGGATAGATCTGTGGAGAGGCAATCCCACTCAGAATAAGTATGCATGCATCCTGACATTGGAAAAATTATACAGTGTACCTTAAAATTAAGATTTTTGATAATTTGGTAGGTAAAGAACATGATCATTTTGGAGACTTTGTGCTTATAGCCAGAAAACAATGATTTCTTCTCATGTCTTCTCTGGGCTGTCTGATTCTGAGCAGGTTCAAAAGCACTTCACATAATTACAATGCTGAACACTTAAACCTCTGACATGAGGGAAAGTGCAGTGAGCCTCCTCCACTTCATATCTGAGTAGCTCTTTGCTCACAGCGCCCCCAGCTGTACATCTTATATAATTAGATCCACTTTTATACCAAGTGGAAAGTCAACTCTATGAAGTACTGGAAATGTGAAATTATGTAATTGGACATTTATTCCTGCCTCTTCTGCTGCTACAGTTTGTTGAATTTTTTTACTATATTGTTTGTGTTTGGAAGGTGCTCTGTCTCATAGCAGATCTTTAAAAAATAATATCTAAATTTCTAAATGTTATGCTAAATTTAGATACAAATTTTGGTGATATAGTATTGTTATTGCGAGCTGCTGTATCTATATATTACCAAGAGTTTTTGTTTTTTTTAACAGTTTCTTTTGTGAGTGCGCTACAGTTTTGTTGTTTATTTACATACACTTGCCATACTCACCATTTTGATGATTAAAATAGGTGTATTTCATATTAACTTTGCACAAGAAGTGGTTTAACAAAGTAATATTGTTGCTAAAATGTACTGGGTTAAAAAGACAGCAATAGATCACAACAGATCGCGTTATCGTGATAATATCGTATCATGAGTCACGTATTGCATATCATGTCAGTTCTCAGTCCTAATAAAAGTCAGTATTATAGGAGGTACATGAAACTGGTTGTTTATCCCATGCTTTTACTGAGAAAGTTTGTTGAATTTATTGCTTAAGAAGTTGTTTCCTACATTGGTGGAGTCAGAGTGGTGCTCTGTTTCTTAGAATATCTTTGAAAGTTAATATCTAAGCATACCTCCCTTACTGCTTTGAAATGTGGGGGATTTTTCAAAAGAGTCATGCATTCGGCTGATGAAGTCATTGCATGCTTTTCAAAGGGGGCCGTGCTAACTCTCGGCACAGACTGACGCAGCGTTTTGGTTAAAGAGAGAGAGAGAGAGAGGATAAGGGCGCATTAAGATGTATTCATGTTAACAGCAGGGGATGTAATGCCTAACTGAAAAATGGGACGCTCAAATCTGACACATGATTTAATTGACATTTTATCTGCAGCGTCATCTTAGAAATTTAAATAATACATGATAATGTATTATATGTATTCCATCTAATATATATTGAACAATAAGCCAATAGAGTATTTATCGTAACAGTTGTACTACCATTACTGTCATAAGAACAGCATTGTGTTTCTGTTTAAAACAATGTAAGTTAGCTGTGAGATCAGTCACCTAGTTTTTTTGTGCTGTTATGACTTAAAAGTTTTACTTTCCTAAACTTGCATTGTACTTTAAGAAATAATACACAATCTATAGGTAATAAATGCAAAATGTATTTAATGGGATGTAACAATAACTGAAATATTGTGATATCGTATCGTCAAAGTTCTCATAATAATATCGTGGACCATCACAGTATGTCGAATTACAAGTTTCTTTGCTTAAATTCAGAATTATGGTGCAGCAATAGCTAAAAAAAAGAACTACATAGACCGTGATCCTTTGCTCCATTTCAGTGCAGACTACATGAAGAAATAACAGTTCTAAGCACTTTTAAGTTTTAGTTATTTGGATTAAGTCTTGTCAAGGCATTTTCAGAGGAAAACCTAACATATTAACAGTTTTGTTAGCCTCCAAAAAATATCACAGTAAATATCGTACTGTGAGATGTATATCATGAAAATATCCCACCAAGAGATTTGGATATTGTTACATCACTAATCGTGAGCTTTCCCACAATATCGCAATAAATATTGTAACGTGAGGTTCATACTGAAGATATCATATTGTGAGACATGGATATCATTACACCCCTAGTATTTAACTATTTTTAACAATTTTATATTATTAGTAATGCACTGAAATGATCTCAGTGAAGCATGATGCATCGGTTATATAAAGAATTGCTTCCAGCTGCCATTATTTGTAAACTTCAGCTGTAAACCTTGTGGTCATTTGTCAGATTGGCTCTCATCATATAGTTTGTACAGTTGTAAATGAACAGTGAAGGGCGTACAAAGCCATTCTTGAACATGTGTCTGCTTATCCTTATGTAATGCTGTATATTATCAGGACTGGGAGAGCTGCAGAGAAAACACACAGAATGGCCCTTATGTTACACAAGAGGGAGCCAAACAGGACAAAAGTAATGAGGATTCTTCGAGCTTATCTGAAAATGTGACTGTCTATATATCTATATACTATATTTACATCTTTGTTTCACAGTGTTAACATTATATTTGCTCTAGATAGAACATATGGCTGTTTTATCACTGAATCTCTCATAAAGATATAATGCTTTGTCCTGCAGCAATAGATTTTTACGAGTCAGATTTGTTAATTTCTACTTTGACATCCCATAAGATCAGATGAATATCAAATTTTCCTCTAGCATTTAGAACACACCATATTATAACGTCAATAATTCATGTAAATGCTGCAGATTGAACAGAAGTGCACTTAAGGGCCAATGACAATCGAGTTCACCACATTTGTTAGCCCTCATTATGACCTGAGAGGCTCCGATGTGTGATTAGTGCAATGATGAGCCAGCTCTGAGGGAAAGAGCAAAGTTAACTTCTATTACATTTCGTTGCTTGTGAATTCAGAGCATTAATTATTCACCATGACGAGTTTATACATGTGTTTCACAATTTTCAGAGTCCAGAGTGTAGTTAAGGGTCTGCCAAAATATTGAAATATTAATATATCGTATTGTTTAACTTGATGATACAGTATCGCTATCATGGGCTGCTGTATCGATATATTGGCAACGGTATTTTTAGGTATATTTTACAAAATTATTTTGTGTAAGAGCTACAGTTGTGTTGACATTTTCACAGTTTTGAGTAAAATGGGTGTTTTTCATATTAACTCTGCACAAACTTAACAGACTTTTAGTATCAGAGCCATGATTTACATGATTTAGCCTTTCTTTTTCATTGAAGAGTATCGAATCGATTTGAAATATATCGTATTGAATTGTATCAAAAGTGTACTGTATCTAAAACGTATCGTATCGTGGCCTGTGTATCGAGGTATGTATCGTATCGGCAACATCTGAACGATACCTAGCCCTAGTAATAGTACACTTTCTGTTACTCTGACAGTAAAATGTGAATTATAATTATATTCATTTTAAGAAGCAGTACCAAATGGAGTTGTATGTAAATCTAAATTTGACCAGAAAACAACATTATAGAATAACACAGTAACATTACAGGAGACAAAATCAAAAACGTGAGGATCCAAACAAGCCAAAAAAAAAAAAAAAAAAGACTTAAACCCAACTGTTGTAGGCATATCCAAACTAAAATGGTGCCTCACAGTGGACAGAGTAAGGATGTCAGCCTTCTGTTTCCCTCTTAGTGCTGTAGGCAAAAGTGGATCTGTGGACTGTTTTTTCTATTCCCATTCACCAGGGAACAATGGTATCAGCAGACAGACGCACGTTTACACATTAGCTTTGTCACTGACGTGCTTCCTGTTAACAAACGGTCCCACTGCTAAATTTAGAGTCTTCGGAGAATGTGACACCGACTTCTAGAGAAGACAAGAGAGGAGAGCATGAGTCCGGTGTTTCAACGATGGGTCGCCCCTCTTCTTCATTCGCTGGATTAATCGTCTCTTTCTCTGAAGACTTTTTAGCCTTTCGCTCACGTCGTGTGGTTTTGGAATCTGTACCCTCCTTTTTCAGATCTTTCTGGTTGATGATTTCAAACTTCTTCTCTCTGTAATAAGATCCAGTGTTGGTCATGTAGAGTAAAATCATGTCACAAACGAAGACACCAGCGCCCAGAAGAGCCAACCCTGAACCCAACGCGATCACTGTTGGGATAATATGAAACTGTCCAGCCTGCCCATTGACTATGATATCAAAGCGGATCCCATACACCTTGTACAAAGTGCGAAATGTTTGGCCATATGGATCCTTAAAATACCTGGCATACCTGAAATTGTATCCTGAGTTGTTCATATTTGTACCGAGGCTGGTGAAGCTGTACTGTGGTTTGCAATGGGAATAGTCTTTATCCAGGTCGCACTGCCACTCAATGAGTATTCCAACAGTACCACCGTTGGAAGCCATTGTCTGGAAGTCATTGCCCGTCCAACTGACCAAATGTCCAAGTCGGAAGATCGGGCAAAAAGGATCACGTTCGCTGTCATAGGTACAGTTCTTTAGGTAGTTAGCGTCATCAGTTTCCGGGACATTTGACTTGGAGAAATGAAACTTTGGAAACTGAATGTAATTTTTGATATAGACAGTAAAGTTTTCAGCTGCAACCAGTGTGGGCTTTTGGGGTTTGGGACTGTTTTCAACAGGACACCAGGCATTGATCTCACATGTTCCAGTTTTCTCCACACAAACTCCAGTCTTGATTCCATGGCCAGCTATGACAGACTCTCCCTTCTCACAGTCACTGTCTTTCACACACCTCCCATTAGGTACATTGTAGCTCTCAGGACAGACCCCCAGTGTCTGATTTGGAGTCTCGATGTAATTAGTCACTACAAAGAAGACCTGCTCACCATTTGGAGGTATTACATAGTCTTCTTCACCCCATATGTGAAGGCCTGCTTCTGAGTTGTTGGTTAAAGCGACACCCTTGAGTTTTGTGAAGACAGAGCTCCGGATGGCTTCTTCCTTCTCCTGGTAGCCTTTATTGAGCACAAACACCCATCCAATAAGGTATGCCAGTACAGCCAGCTGATAAAGTCGATATAAAATTCCAATCTTACTGTTTTTAGTGACGACATATTTCTCAGTTTGGTAGTTGAAGAGAGATAGGAAAAAGCTCCCCTGAGATGCCATTTCTTGTCTGTTATCAAACAGAGCTGCTGACTACTGTTTTAACCTGGTTGACCATTAAGCTCAGAGAGAACAGTGGATAACCTTTGGTCTGTAATAAAGGCGTGTTGGTTTGATAACTGGGTTGAATGAACTTTGTTAAACTTTCATTTTGTATTCTACTACATTTTATTGTACCTGCATTTATACGTTATACATTTCTTTTATAAATATACTTTTTCTGCAAATTATTTTCAAATCCAAAGATAAATAAAGGTAAAATAAAAATAAAGTTCCCTCATACATTTCTTCTTCCTCTTACTGCTTACTTATTTTAAAGCTGGAAGTTACCTCACTGAAACCTATGGAATATAGTGACATCAGGGAAGATATGATCTAGCTTCACACCAAATATTGACCAGTTACTGTGTTCTGTACTCATGCTATTATAACATATATAATATGGCTCTGTGAGCATTCAAGCCACTTGTGGACTGAGCAACATTATTGTCATAACTGTCCTGTCTTTGTGAATGATCATTTCTAAAGGTTCTGTTCAAAGAGTCTCTATACTAAACTGTGCTCTTGGACTAATTGCTCTAATTGATACTTTGCAGTAAACATCATGCTGGGGAGTATTCTAAACATCCCACCATTGCAGATACATGTAGCAGGAGTTCTGGCATGCTTTCACCACTTGCAAACAGGTTTCTGTGAGCTCCAGGTGGTCTAAGTGGTTATCACCAAGTAATACATCAAACTTTCCAACATTAGATTTGCTTTTTTATTATTTTTTGTGGAAATGGTCCCATTGAAATTTGTGTAGGCTATTGATTAGGCTTCATGATTATGATAAATACATGGTGATGGTTGATTAACTGTATGTGATCTTTTGAGTCTTGAAAAGTCTCAAAATTGCACCTTAAACAGGAAGCTGAAACAAGTTTAGTACAAAAGTCCAGTAGACCCCAAACTGTAAATAAGGTTTTGCTCTTATATTCAAGTATAGCCTCAATTAATCTAATGCTTATCTATCCGGTTTACATGCAACCCATGCTAGGTAGAAAATATTTACAGGCAAAAACATGAAGCATAACATTCAACCAGAGCCATTTCATCCAGTGCGTCCTCTGCATCATGTGTGCATCACTGTCTTTCATTTTATTCCATCAGGTTCATAAACTTTGAATTTTTCCACACATATAGACGAATATTTTCTCTGCAAAATAAGGCGATTATCCTGCAAATGGGGCAGACAGGCTGTGTGTGCTTTTAGAAATTTGGTTGAATGCAGAGTGTCCGCAGGAGAGGACTCCAGTTGCTCAGAGACATGCTGCAGAGCCCCATGCATCGTGTTCTCTGATGCTGGTGTCTCCTGCCTGGTACCACTGTTCCCTGGGCTACACTCTACTTTGAGCTGTAGATATCCTCACAGGTGTAGCGGCTCCAGGTGAGTTCTCTCCCCGCTCCATGTGTGGACCTGGTCAGCGTGGATAGTCCCGCGATGGACTCATCTCTCTACATTTACAATCAAGTTTACACCAGGGAGTGCATTTTGAAACTGTGGAAATCGGATTCTCCAACTCAATTTGAAGCCTGGCTCAGGGAATTAATGGGAGTGTTCCATATTGAGAGATTGAGGTATGAGGTGTCAGGTGTCAGGCAATCCCCAAAAATTTCAGAAGGTATGGAAACCCATTCTAGCATCTGAATTTGTAGTGGACCCCCGAAAAATAATGTAACAATGTTGTCAAATAATGTTATTGTGAACATTTATAACTCTTTTTTTGTATATACACACACACACACACACACACACACACACATATATATATATATATATATAATATACCCCATTGAGTGTTTGTGTGTCATTTTCTTGTTATTTTTTTCTCTATTTTTATTGTATTTTTTAAAATCTATTTTATGTTTCATTTTATATTTAATTTTTAGTATTTATTATTATTATTTAACTACTTCTTTTACTTATGTTAAGTCATATAGACTTAGAATTTCAATTTGTTTATTTATTTTTGTTTATTTAATATGTATTCATTTCTTTTATTGTATGTGATGCTTACAGTATATTTTAATGATTATGTGGCACCAACAAGATTGTCCTTGTCACGTTGGCTGCAGGAAGCATGATTTGATGCTTTGTATATGTACATGGCTTAAGGGAGCGCCCCGCCAACCTGCATTGAAAACTCATTTTAACTGCTTTTATCCACCATCTTGTCCTTTTGGTCAGTACTTGGTTCTTTCTTATTCATGACCATAAGAGAGGGTAGGGATGGAGACCAGTAAAGCAAGAGCTTTCCCTTTCGACTCAGCTCCTTCTTTACCACAACAGGCCGATACAACAACCGCATCACTGTCGACACTGCACCGATCTTCCTGTCAATCACATGGACACGCTTCATCCTTCCTTCACTCATGAACAAGACCCCGAGATACTTGAACTCCTTCACTTGAGGCAAGGACTCTCCACTGTCTGCCTCAAGTTGGTCCTGTTTAGGAGTTAGATTTACAGCAAGAGTGTAACTAACTGACAAACTGTTGGCTAATGCTTGGCTTGTGAATGTAATTTTGTGTGTGTTTGCTTGTGTGTGTGTTTGCTTGTGTGTGTGTTTGTTGTGTGCTGGTGTGTGTGTGTGTGTTTTGCTTGTGTGTATGTTGCTTGTGTGTTGTGTTTGCTTGTGTGTGTGTTATCAGCACTTTCTGGTCAGATTCTGTTCAAGCTCAGATTAAAGTCTAATTTGAGTAACAGAGCTTTTAAAAGAGTAATGCTTTCAGTTTTCAGCATTATAAGACTCAGAAGGTTGATGTTGATATTACAAGAGAAATTACACTAACCCAGTCGTTCATCAAAGCTTTGGTCTGACTGAACTGTCTCTGCCTTCTGTAGTTACTCTCAAAACGGTGTAATACCATCAAAACAAGTGCGTGTGTTTGCTGCAGTTTGAAGTTGCATGGAAGGTCATGCACCAGCTGACATTTGAAAACACTGGTCATTACCGAAGCTTACCACTGTTTAGGGTTTCGACTGAGACATCTCCTGCTAATGAGTGTGTGTGTGTGTGCTAGGGGTTAGGGACAGTTCAAAGCATTCAAAACACCATCACAAGCTCCGGCACGGGGAATAGCAGAGCGCACAGGGGGCTACTCTGTTTACCAAGGGTTCATGACCTGCACTTCTTACACAACTGTAAATCTACCCATTTGCTGTCATATCGCCTGAAGCTGCTGGATTTCTTTTGAATACTAAAATAAGTCTGCTGAAATATTTAAGCGTGTGTCTGGCTGCTGCAGTGTTTGGTTCAGACTTCAGAGCCAGATTGTTGATTTCTTGTCTTATTGCTCGAGCATTGCGACAAATTTGTGAATAATAAAAAAATAAAAAATAAATGAAAACATAAATCTTAACAAATGCTCTTTTAGTGACAAAATATGAAAACAAATCTCAGTTTAAAACATTAGCCAGAAATTGTCTTTAAATTATTACAATTTGGACTGGCCTCATTGCTACCCTTACACAGCACTTTTTAAATGTCAAAACAATAACATTAAAAATTCATATTTGCCAGTCAATATAAAATGGCCTATTCTGCTACATTTTCAGTTTTTTATTGATTTGTTGGAATTAAAAGCTTGCTGCAAAATACTGTGGTTTGGGGACCCCTACTGGTCCCTGTGGTTTGGAGAGAGACTGAAGTATATGTATCACTATTTGGGCCAGGTTTAGTTTCAGTTTAGAAGTTAAGTCTCATTTTAGTCCTCTTTTGAACCAACCAGTTAAACTTTTATGTTTCATTTCATTCAGCCAGTTGACTTCTGATATTCCTTATTTTGTTATGCATTTTTGTAGATTCCACTGAAAGCCTAACTCTTTCAGGCTGAGAATTGGATACACATATTTTTGAGTATTACTTGCAAATACTTCACATCCAAATTCAAACAGTTTTTGTTGCTTTTACAAATTCTCAATCTCACTTCTGTCATGTATATTTCTGTCTCACATTTAGAGGGCGTCTTTTACTACACTAATGCGACATAAAAGGGAGCAGAGCCTTGGTCCTGGCTGGAGTCCATCTTGAAACCCGCAGACCCCAGCTCCCTTTGACATAAACGCAGCCTGCAATGATCCAAAGCCCTTGTGAGCCTCTGCCATTTCAAAGCACTTTCCTAATCTTCACTCAGAGACCAGAATTCAGCCAGTGGCATCAATAACTGGACCAGCTAGACTCTAACAAATGCATAAAGATGTAATATTACATAAATAAGCTATGCAGTGTGTGAGTTTTTTAGGACAGGGATGGGACAGTTCTGATATACGTATGTGGTAGTTTTGAGTACAGTGGTGCAGAAAGGCATGTTAAACAGGAGTTTCATAGTGACACAACTTCTTTCTAGTTAAAAGAAATGTTAAAGCTTTAAAATTGACTTAACTTTTTACATTTATTCAATTGCAGGTGGTTTTATAGCTCAAAAATACCTAGAAAAGCAAAGATTCTGACTGTGAGCCGGGTTGCCTCTCCACAGATCTGACCTGTAACTTTGCCTGATTTTGGCTCCTTGAAGATAGAAAGGTTCAGTGTCATACTCCACCAGAAAAGTTACACTATGTACCTTTAAGTTTTGAATAATACGAACACCTCTTTTCTAGTTTAAAGTGTCACAAAACAATCTAATTATAAAATACAATATGTAAGTTATTGTTTGAAATAATCACAATTTAATTTAAAACCAAAATAATCATGATTTGTTATTTATCTTTGCCATAATCAAGCAGAATTTTTTTTTATCTACTTTTTTTTTTCTAGACATTTGGAATAAAATTGTTTTCCAAGTCTCTGTATGAGTCAAAACATAATCTAATAAGTGCTATTACTCTGACAATATGCAAGTAAGTGTGTAATTGTGAAATATTCACAATTTAATTTAGAGCCAAAATAATCGTGATTCTATATGGTCCATAATATACCCGAAAATCACATTGTTCCATTGATAAACAAGACTCCTGC